TCTAAGTTTTATATGTGTCTAGCTAACCTGTGGGTCTATGGCCCACATTTACAGGGCCAATATAATATAAATTTAATGCTTGAACTACTATTTTGCACTTTTTTCAGTTTAATGATCATTGCCGCAAAAATGCAAGTTTAACTTCTTTAACTAAGTTACAAATGGTAATTAGTAGGCCTACTTATTTACATGTTCTAATGTAAAAACATGCCAAATTTAGTGTCTGCATTTGGGGGATATAAAATTGTTTTTGCAAAATATCCAGGTTTCTTAAGGAGTTGGGTGAAAAGTTTTACCTTTGTGCAAACCTCGAGGCTGAGACAAATTGTTTGGAATGAATTAAAAGTTGGTGCGTCCAGCAGTTTAGGAGAATGGGTTTTTGGTAAATTTACTGAAGGGAATTCTTGCAAAAGACTCCACATATATTACTACTAGACCTTTATTTATTTATTTTATTATTTTTATTTATGAATAAAGGGTAATAGTTACAACACCTTATGCTGAATACTCACTAAAGATTCTTGAAATACATAAATCGTAAAAAACATTGTGGAGAAGAAGAAACACAGTTTCAAAAACATTTTAAAAGGTATCATGAAATAGTATTTTAATTCTCAAAATATTGCTGTTCGATCAAAATATAGATGAGCTTGAAAATCCCCTATTTTTTTCCCATCTGCAGTATAGTTGTATTTAAAGAAACAATTCTCACAGAAAAAGAAAGGATCTTCTGGCACTCTCTTATTTCCAAATGTTACCCACCTGCAAAAAATATATTTAGTATCATAGTCACCTACTTTATAGAAAAATTAATGAAAGTACCCAGCTTCGCATGGGTTATTAGGTTGATATATTTTAACAAGTTCATAAAATTTAAATGAAGGTAAAAATATTAATCTAATTTTAAACTTAATTCCTTTCTGAATTAAGGTATTTTCTGTTATATCACAAATATTTTTAATAAACAATAAACCTCTTTAACCAATGGGGACTCTAAATTAAGAAATCAACAATTATCATTTCAGTTTTGTTGTTTATACATTTCATTTTATACTTCCAGTACATAGACTAACAACAATATTAGGTTATACTTTTGTTGCTAAGCAATATGACATGAAAGCCATTGTTGGAATGCACTGTTACCAAAATGCACTGGCTTTTCTATATATCATAAGTATAATCTAACTGATATACTACAGGATGCGCATGCACATGGATAAGATAAGTAATAATACCCAGGTGCACACCCTCAGGGTCCACATAGTATGGATGCAAAATTTCAGGATTCGAGGTTCTTTTCTCTTGGAGCTATGGCGTTCAAACACACATAGACACACCCTTTTATTATTATATATGACTATTAACATACACACACATATATATATATATAGATAGATATAAGTAAAAAGTATCAATATGATGAAAGATTCAAAATACACACACAGTTACAAGGACTATACCCTGTACTAATAACTTAAACATTTCTCTTCATCTATAAAAAAACATTTGGACTTCATAAATAATTACACAACTTATATGTAAAATAAGAAGTAGTTATTTTGGAAGATGACTATTCTTGATAACTCACTTAATTTAGAAATGTACACATTAACTACTGGATTACAATGAAGGAACTAATCAATTTAAGGAACACAAGAAATGGTAAGAATCTAGTATAGGAAACTTATATTCAAGATTTATAACTGTATATGCAATAATTACTTTAAAGAAAACACAAATAATTGCTACTGATCAAGCCTACAAAACAGTTGGCTTTATAAAATTTTGTTCTACTTACCTAAGCACAATATTTTGAAATATGGTTTACTGCAGTGAAAGACTAGTTGCCATACTAATGCAAGTTTGAGTTTTTTGTTATTGTTGAAATGAAAAATAACAAATACTTAGAAGTGCTTCATTTTTATTAGTTAAAGTGTCCACATTTAGTGTGCCTGTTCATTACGTACAATCTTATAAAATATTTTATATTACTAATGGTTGTAGGTAACATAATTTTTCCATAATTTTTTAACTATTACCACCTTCCCACACACACAAGCATGCACAAAGTTCTATTACAAATGAACAGAAATTTTATATTGTAAACATCATATATCCTGATTAGAGGTGTTACCAGTAATACTTAACACTTTACTATCTTTTTAGATTTTTGCATTATAGGTTTTATCCACAAACAAAATATATAGTACACATTCATAACTGAAGCTTACTTACAAGGTTACACATTATAGAACTTTCTACTACACTTTTGTGCAACAATTATGTTTCACTAATGTTTACCAGTTATTTGATTAGCTTTACTGTCTCAGCTAAAACTTTCATTTGAGTTACTATATAATAACTGAAACATAGCAATGAATGTATGAAATCAGAAATTGTAATTTTTATTTCTGTTTGTTGCAGTTTTTCTTACATTTTGGTTATGGCATGTAAATAATAAGCTTTAGTTAATACTGTAGACAGAAAAAGTATGTTCAACTGTAGTATGTCATTGAATCTTGTTGCTGGTCTCAATAAAGTTTATTTCTTGTACATATTTTATTTAGAAAAGATAGACGAAAAAATTTATAACCATCACATAACAATTTTTGTTTTTTATTAAGTAAAATTGACCCTCATATTGGAAGTACAGTATCCTTAATAATTAACAATAAACACTCAAAACACCATTATCAAATTAAAATGTAACACAGACCACTTTAATTGAATTGCAAAACTACAGACACACTATGTACATGTTCCAAGATGTGAGATTTTATATCTTATAAGGCTCATGTTCAATATGTGTTTCTCAAGCTTTAACCGAGCTTAATCAAATCTTCCAGTTCTACCCAATTGTAACATTGATAGTGTAAACATTAATTTTTTCCTTACAAGGGTTATTCATGGATCAATTAAACCTTTAGGTTTAACTAGTACTGAAAGCAATTAATAGTTTTGCATATTAATTTAATACATGAAAGTAAAAACAAAGAATATCAAAATGTCTTTACTGCAGAAAAGAAAGAGAGCTAATTGCAAACTTCTTTTTCCTTTCTCTAATACTATAGAATGATAAAAGAAACTCAAATTATAGATATTTTTATAATTACACCAAATAAAGATTTTCAATAATTCTGTAAAACTTTTATACCTTGAGGTTTTGATGTGACACACCATGCAGATAATACGCTGTTTCCGTGGTGTTCGCAAATACATTGGGTAGTCACAAATGTCTTGGCTATCATCTGGATGGCAAAGTCTGAAAAATGAAACAAAATTTTTGCTCTCGAAAACATCATATATTTTCATTACTGATTAGATACTTTATTAGGATTCCCACTTAATACCAGACTGGACCACCATTTCTTACAATAATAACTTTGAACTGAACATGACATAGCCTTTAAATGGTATATTTTCATGGAATATGGTTTGGAATTTGTTCACACATGGTGGGATAGGGTTATTATGGTAAATGTGGTATTACTCTCCATTCCACAGATGCTCAATTAGAAGTCAAGATTGAGCAATTATACAGGTTGTCAATAATTGCTGAAGTCATTTTTATGCTCTTCAAACCAGTATGAACAATAAAAATACAGTGATCATTGAAAATTCCTTGTTCATAAGGGTTAAAATGCAGCAACAAAGTTCAAACATACTATGAATGATTTTCATCCTTCTTAAAGAATTAAATTACAATTTATATTGTGGCATATCATCCTTAATTTAAGTAATAACTCAGTTAATTAAATGTCTTGGTAGCATGGTAGTTATCTAGGTAAACTATTATAGATCTTATTTTGTCTTAGGAAGTAGACAGATCTTGTGATGAAATATGTCCTTAAAGTAAACTATAAACGTACTAATTAGACCAATAAAGAAAGGGTGACAGAGTTTAGATAAGGAAGTAACAATGTCATCATAAATGACTTAAATACTTGGAGAATTATCCATTATTTTCATTAAATTATTATTATTGTTTAAGAGTGAGTGCAAAGTTAACAATCACATCTAGTTAAGTATAGTAATAAATTATTTAAAGAATTACCTCATGTAGTGATATAAAAGTGTTTATTGAGCTTGAAACTCATAAGTATTTATGAAATAAAATATTTATATTTATCTTTAATTACTCATTTGAGAGTAGGTACAGTGACTAATTATTTAATGCATTTTTTGTACCTTTAAAAGATTTTACTAAATTTTCAATGTATGTTTTTACAGTTGATATTTATGTTTCTATTATTATAGGAAGAGTTACATGTCTTGTGGTTTTATTTGTGTATTTATTGTACTAAGAAAGCGTGAAATTCAACTCAACTGATTATATCATATGCTTTTAGTTATTTAGAGTCAACAATTTGAAATTATGCACCACTAAAATGATATTTTCCTAATTGCATTAGAGATAAGTGAGGTTTGACTGCTTTGTAATATACTTCACGTAAACAAAACAATACAGATAAAAATAATAACAACCAAACCACTATCAAAGGAAATGGCCAACTGAGACATGGTATGTTACCTGTAGCACTACACAAACATATCCAATCATATTCCCCACCCACCCCATTCTGAAACCTACTGCTTTAATAACATCTTTATTGGACAGGCATCCAATATCATGCCCTTTCAATAGTAACAAAGTGCATTTTGTAAATGCAAATAAACAGTGTTGGTGAAAAAAATGAGCAATCAATTAATATTTTATGTACAATGCATTTCAAGATTATTTTAATTTTACTGAATGTTTATTTGTAACTATCTACTTCAGTACCATTAAAACTAGGTATACAGGGTTACACTACAAAAACACAAATTAAATACTACACTAAAATGCACTACATATAACTGCAACAGCTAGTGATGCAATTCATTATAAATAAATGACATTAACTCTGGTATTGTTAATTATATAAAACCAGTGAAACAACATGAGAGCCAATAAGTAAAGCCTTTTACATTTCTATACAACATATTTCTTTACACATCAATTCAAGGACATTACATAAAATTGTATAGTATTCTATATCTCTGAATACAGCTTTTATTCAAGCATGTTTTTTTTCCCATGGTTTTTGAAACACAGATTATAGTAATATGTTTTTATAAATTGTAAGTGCTCTGCTGTAAAAAAATCTATATACAATGTGGCTCTATTTAAAAGCTTGCTTGTTATAAAAATGTTAAGAAACTTCTAAAAATATGTAACATAACTAGAAAAAATTATCTATGAAGTAAGAATAAATCATGTTTTTTATAAACATTTAGAGAAATGTTATAAAATCTTTGTGCATTGGTATATTCTCCAACATCTAATATATTTTTCTTTAAACAGAGACTTGTGAAAAACACCTGAAATAATTCAAACCGTAATATCCTGTAAATAATGTTAATATATAACTAGGATCAGTACTATGCTTGTTCTGCGAGCTCTGAGAGCACAGGATGGTATGTATGTATTAGTGAGAAAAAAAATGATTTCATAATATTACTGTTAACACAGTGAGGGGTTATTTTATCAATATAATTTCTAATCAAAGCACACATGACATGTCACATTATTTAACAAAATTTGATAAGCAGCATTCTTTGTAAGTTACTAATGTTAATAGGTAGGTTTATGTTTTGCCATTGAAATGAAAATAAAACAAAAATGTAACTCCTAAGCTACAAATTTTTAGATCTCTCTATGCTGGAAAGTTTTTACACTTTCTCATATAAACTGCACTGTCAAAATTATAAAAAATATACTTTAAGCATATGGCATGGCCCATCCAGTATTATCTTTGAGGCAAACCAATGAGAATAAATACAGGAACACTTCAGATAAGAATATAGATGATGTTCAAAATGACAAAACATCATGCATTAAAAGAATTTAAGAGATTTTATAGGATGCAAGAAATGTGAAACATTTAATAGATGTAGTTCTTGGTCACATCAAACCTAGATGTGCCTCAAATTATTCAATGGTGCTGGGAACTAGAAAGTGAAATATTAGATTACCCCAAAGTGGACAGATATTCACTTGTCAGGGTTTCAAAAGGGAGCTGTAAAATAATTCACAGTGACTTTACTACATCCAAACATAAAATTAAGAGCTTACAATTCACAAAAAAAAATAAAAAATAAAAAAATAACAAAAAAGGTATGCTAAGTTTCAATGAAAATAGCTTCAAGTTAACAATTAAAAGACTTTCTTTAATTATTTTTTAAGTGTATCTCATCCTTAGCTTTATCAAGAATCTTAAACTTATTATATTTAATTGATACTGCACACAATTATCTTGTATTGCCTCCACAAACCAGTAAGCCTCTCTCTCCTTGATATGATGCAAACAGATATGTGTAACACTATAAGTAGCCAACCTCCCAACATGCCTGTCCATTTTAGACATACTACACAGGTATCATTAATTATCCTATGTATACAAGCCACAGACTGAATGAAGTAACAAGTGTTCATACTTACTGAATTTGATATACACATCTTTAAGGCATTATATTCTGAGATTAAACTCTCCTTATATCAGAAAATTTTCCATCTATACAACTTTGAAGTCAATTCCTTATCTACAAAAATAATCCTATAAGAAATGCACAAAGTAAGGCCCTACTTGTGGTACTGCATGTGAGTTCACACCATGGAAATTACTCTTTCTAAAATGAAACTCAATATATAACTCAAAAATTGGAAAACAAGTGCAAGAAAAAACCTTATTCTGCAAAAGAAAATAGAGGGTGACCCCCTGGTCACAACAGTATTAATAAAAATTTATAACAATACACCACCAGATGGACTTACAAACTATGCAACATGGTTACCTAAGGTCAGAAAACACAATTAGGTGTTCACAGAAGCCTTGATGGACATACACATATGGATAACCAAGTCTTAAATCCAAATCCATAAATTGGCAGTCTTCCATTTTCTTGCTGGTGAATGGACCTATTTTTTCTACTGTTTCTTTAGCCCATGCTCTTATTTGACTGAAATAGAAGCAGTTACAAATTTTAAATAAAGTTTAGTTTTTAAGATTTTTATATAATTATTGATTAACACATACAAGATCAAAAGCAATGATTATAATGTAACAATTAATTCAAAATAATTACTACTCAGAAAAATACTTAATTTTTAACTTTAATAAGAAGGCATATTTAGTTATATAAAATGCTTATGATCATACCCATTATGGAAAGGAATAAACTAGTCTTAAATAATATACCTTCACCATAACCAGTTTAAATTACCAACTGTTTAGCTCTCAAACCATGAGTTACCTGCTATAGTCTCGATTTTCTGTGTTTCTCATGTCACTGTAAAAAACCCCATTAATATAGAAGAATCCTGATTTATACAGATCCTATAAAATGAAAAATAACAATATTTAAGGTTAAATTATCTTATATTGCAGAAATAAATAGTAAAAAGTACATGACTGAAACATTACTTTGAAAAATACTTTATGAATATTAAAAGGCAAAATACAACAGGTGTTATATTTATTATCAATTAGAGCAAAAAAGTAAAGTCCTACAAAACACACAAATTTTCTTTGCTCATTAACAATTTTCATTTCTATTTAGAAATAAGGTGTTTGGTCATCACAGTGATTTCAAGAAATATATTTATCCTATAATACATTAAATTAAACAAGTGACTATAACAATAGTTATTTTAGTTGAAATATAAAATATAAAAGATTGACTAAAGTTAGTAATGAGCACATTTTGACATGGTCACAATATTTATGTGCTGAATGAAGGAAAATAGAAATTATGAATCACAAATACGAAAAGTATGAATCTGCAAGTAATCTTAAAATGGGATATACTACACTAAATTTTATACAGTGATGGATTAATTGTTTCTTAACCCTAAAATGCTAGCAATAATTAACACCAGGTAATATGGGGTCATAGTTACCTCACACTGGCATTTCTAGGGTTAATGAATAGATAATTACTTAAATAAAATATGATTTTAAAAGTAATGAGTAGACCTATGTAATTATTAAGTGAAAGTATAATTTTGAAAATTAACAAGTTAACCTAAATAATAAATGCTATATGGCAGGATATTCATAGTTAAGCTAGACTTTCTGTTACCATAAGTGTATTTCCAATAGGTACTTACCTCCCCTTACATAAAGAGCTATTCTCGTTCAGTGCAGCCCTTTTTATGCAAAATGTTTTTTTCACACACCACAAGCCTTGAAGCTCCCACCTATCTTTGAATTGACTGATTCAAATGCAACTTGCATTAAAATCATCATGCACCAAACCCTCCACCAATAAGAGTGTGACACACTCTCTTGACGCATGTGACTCCCTCTATTCAATTCGACCAAACTATCACTTCTCGTTTGGCAGTACTTGTATTGTAACACTTAGTTTGTGCTCTCTTCAAGTGTATATTTTTCTCCATATTGTTACGTCTCTGTTTGTTTGTTAATTTTCCATAAAAATTCTTTCAGAAGTAACTAGTTTATTCTTTCTCAATACAACTTTGCAATACACTTAATTTCCACAGTCACGCTATAACTTAAACAAACGCTATAATTCACAACGACCGAACGATT